ATACTGCTCCATCTTCCCCTAAATTTGTATCAGTCTCCTTTTATTCATAAAGCAAATGAATTCATTTTTTAAAATGTTTGCTAAAAATAACTGAACCAAAAAATGATCAAACTTTAAGAGTTTTGCTCTCAAACTGAGGCTAAGCATGGAATATTTTACTATCAACAACTTAATTTCAGAAGTTATAATATAATCAAAACACTTTATTTTTATCTACTGGTAGATATTGCTCTCATTTACACTTGTGTACATTTTGAATAGCTATTAATTTCAGTCACTTTTACATTCAGTATGAAACCAGAATTTGGGCCATCATCTTCAACCCAACATAAAGAAATAATATTATGAAAGAAGTAATCTGATTCACTGATTCAATTGTCTCTCTGTTATAACTATACTTATCTAGTCTCCTAAAAAAGCTTCTACTCAGAGAAATTATTATTAATGGGAAAATAATATATATTGAAAGTTCTGGGTCAGCCCTGCTTTGTTATACTGGTATAAAGAGTGCAAGAGAGTAACTGAGTCAAAGCTGTCTGTTTTTAAGGAAATACATTTTTTTCCTAATTCTGAAGTATTATGAACTTTAGGAGACTGACTCCTAAATCTGTCAATGATATATGAAACACAAATGTCATTGCACAACAGGGAGCCAGCATCTTTGAGTGACAGAGATTTGTTTTAATTTTCAACAGCTGGACATCTGCTACACTTCCAAACCCATTTCCACAAAAGTACAGATTGGATAGGTGAGGAAATTTGTTTTAAAAATTGGTATTTTAAAAGTGTAATATTAGGTTTGTTGCCTGTTATTTTATGGTCTAAGCTTATTCAATCTTCTCTGAGAAGGCAGGTTTGAAGAAGTGCCAAGATGCAACAGTTTCTTAAAACTTTTTTCCCCGCTCAAAGTTCTAGCTATGAAACAAACAATACAAACATAATCCACCACCATCCTTCAAATTCTAAAAGAACTGTCATTATAAATTAGGGAAGTTTAAAAAAAACAAACAAACCCTGAAATAAAAGATTTTTCTTTATGAAGACTCAAGTTAAGGTTTGGTATCTCACCACACTTAAATGTATGTATACTTATTTTGAATGTATAATGGGCTGGACTCATCAGACTAACAAATACAGGAGTCTTTCATGTTTCCCTGCAGGACACACAAAGCTTTCAAATTTTCAGTGATCCATTGAAAATAATCCTGGATGGTTTATGCTAAATTAAAATTACAATATTAACAGGTTATGAGTTTTACAACTACTCTAGCAGCTGTTCAAAAGAACTAGGTTTTGCATAGGAAAGCTTGTACTGTTGCTATGTATGCTCATCTGTGTTGCCAACTCATTTAAAATAAGAGATGTAATGCACAACTTTTGTTTTTAACCATGTTAATTTTGGTATGACATTTTTGCATTAAATATGTAAATTACTTTATTTTTGGACTATACATTGCTTCATCAGGCAAGATCTAAGCACCACCTCACTATTAGGTATCTACCCAAATAAAGGCAGTATATGGGCAATTACATGGGCCAATCATGGCACTAGCCACCATTTTTGCGGTCTTTTCACAGTGCCCCCTC